AAATCGACCTGGCAGACGCCTACCTGCAGATCGAGGTCTCCCCTGAGTCACAAGCCCTCCTGACGATCAATACGCACCGTGGTCTTCTCCAGTACACCAGGCTCCCATTTGGTCTCAAGACCGCTCCAGCCATTTTCCAACAGACAATGGACGCTATGATCAGTAATATTCCGGGTACGGCCGCATATCTGGACGATCTACTCATTGTTGGTCGCACCCCAGAAGAGCTTAGAGAGCGCCTGGCTGCAGTCCTTCAACGGGTCCAGGAGTACAGTTTCCGGCTGAAACCTGAGAAATGCCAATTCTTCCTTCCGTCGATCAAATAACTTGGTTTCATTTTCGATGCCCATGGCCGTCATCCTGATCCTGAGAACGTCAGAGCCATCCAGCAGATGCCTGCTCCAGCGGATGTGTCACAACTGCGGTCCTTCCTGGGTCTTATCAGCTACTACAGCGCCTTCCTGCCATCGCTACACGATGTTCGAGCCCCGCTTAATCGGTTGTTGCAGAAGGACGTTCCTTGGCACTGGTCCCCCGCATGCGAAAAAGTTTTCGTTCGCCTGAAAGCCATGCTGAGTTCTGATCTACTGTTGACCCATTTCGATCCAGCCTTACCGATTTTGGTCGCTGCTGATGCTTCTGCCTACGGGATCGGAGCAGTTCTCTCCCATCGATTCCCAGATGGCTCTGAGAAAGCTGTTATGCACGTCTCTCGCACCCTGACGCCTGCGGAGAAGAACTATGGTCAGATAGAGAAGGAAGCCCTTGCCATTGTCTTTGCCGTCACCAAGTTCCACAAGATGCTGTATGGCCGACGGTTCACGCTACTGACCGATCACAAGCCCCTACTTTCGATCTTCGGTTCAAAGAAGGGCATTCCGGCATACTCGGCTAGTCGACTTCAGCGTTGGGCGGTCATCCTTCTTGGTTACGACTTCGAAATCCGCTACTGCCGTACTCAGGATTTTGGTCAAGCCGACTGTCTCTCCCGCCTCATTTCCAAACATGCCGCAGTAGAAGACACAGTGATTGCCGCTGTAACTGTCGAGGACGACGTTCGTTATCAACTATCGAACGCTATCCGAAGTCTCCCTATCACTGCCGCCGACATACGTCGTGCAACTGCTCAAGATCCTGTCTTGCAGAAAGCCGTCACTTACGTTCAGACGTGCTGGCCAAACACTACCTTGTCTGGTGAACTCAAACAACTGCATCAACGCCGCGACTCCCTTTCCGTGGTCGATTCCTGTCTCATGACTGCAGATCGAGTTGTCGTTCCTTCATGCCTCCGGCAAGCTGTACTCCGCCAGCTCCATTCTGCTCACCCCGGTATGAACAGAATGAAGGCAGTTGCCCGCAGTTATGTGTATTGGCCTGGCATTGACAACGACATTCAAGATTTGGTCCGCCGCTGCTCACGATGTCAACAAGCATCCAAGATGCCACCACACCAATCACCAGTTCCTTGGCAGCCGCCAGCAAAACCGTGGTCTCGAGTGCACATCGATTACGCTGGTCCCATCGATGGCATTTCCTACCTGGTCATGGTCGACGCCTATTCCAAATGGCCGGAAGTGGTCGCCGTCAACCCACCAACCGCATCCGCCACTCTGGCTTGTCTCCAACGAATCTTCAGTCAACATGGCCTTCCCGAGGTTTTGGTGTCCGACAATGGTACCCAGTTTACCTCTTCTATCTTCAACGACTTTTGTCGCCGACACTGCATCGAACACCTCCGCTCACCGCCTTACCATCCCCAATCCAATGGTCAAGCGGAGCGATTTGTCGACACATTCAAGAGGGCGCTTTTGAAATCTCGCGGGGAGGGGACCGTCGATGAGTGTCTTCAAGCCTTCCTGCTCTCGTACCGGTCCACACCGAATCCAGCTACGCCAGGAGGCCAGTCACCATCTGAAGTATTGATGGGCCGCAAGCTACGCACAATCAACGAAGCGCTCATCCCAATTGAGAAGCCACCTAGTCACTCTGGTGCCTACATCAAGCATAAAGAATTCGTCGTCGGAGCCCCAGTCTACGCTCGCGATTATCGAGCCGGTCATCCTCGCTGGATCAAAGCAACAGTGACAGCCAGGCGAGGTGACATGCTGCATGATGTCTCCGTGGGTGATGACACCTGGGTTCGCCATCGCAATCAACTTCGTCCGCGCCACGAAGAAACCTCCATGCCAGCCAGCTATCCCGTGCGCCTGCCGCTGCACATCCTGTTGGATACTTTCGGATTGGCCACACAACGACAGAGCACGGTCGAAGCCGCTCAGTCGCCGCCGCATCTCGAGAACCCACCTTGCCGACGAACAGAAAGAATCCGGAGGTCACCGAAATCCCTCCAGGTCAATCCTCGCCAGAAGCGGTACTCTTTCTCTTCAAAGGGAGGGTGTTGCGGGCCCGTCAAAAATCCCCGCAAAAAACGCGCCAGTAACTCCGGCATAATGGCTGTGGGAAACGGAGTCCAATTTCTCCCCACAACGCAGCAGTGTTCAGCCACTCCGAGGCGCGTCCCAACTGCGAACCTTTTGACAATGGTCAATTGCAAACTACCACCTCTGCGTGGTGACTTTTTTCCCTAACTTAACAACACATAGCACTGGCTGCCCTTGCCCTTTGTCGGTCGTAAAAGAGCCTACAGAGGACCACTTGTCTTTTCTTTCTCTTCGCCTCAGTTGGGAGTCGGTCGGGTCGCGT